CTATACATATGAAAAATTACAATAACGCATATATTTTATTATTATTAAATATAAGTATCCCTTCGTAACCCCTATTCCACAAGAAAATTATTCTATCCATTTATTTTTCATAAAAGATGATATTTAGCAATGTGTTATAATATATTTTCTTATACGCGAATTTTAATATTATATTAAAGACGCGATAGAAATGATAATTATAATTATAATAACATCCTGCCAAATAATCACTATTATAATAAGCGGTCTAGAAAGTTTGGAATTTACATCCTCCTGTAAACACTGTTGAAATTTGACAGATAGTATAACTTTTCCTTGCGGAAAGATCTTTTAAATTTTACGTGGAATCAATATACATTAAATTCGCTTTCTATCAAGAAGATTACTCCCTTTGTATTGGATGCTAATCAGCGTATCACAAAGTAAATTTGTCAAATTTTATCATATAAATTTTAATAAATTTTATAATTGCAAGTTATCAATTAAAAGTAAATACAGTTCATTTATTGTTAATATTTCATTCCGTTTATCAATATTACAGTAATGATTGGTTTAATAAAATTTGTGTTATCATATATATATTTCCAACGCTTTCGTATAATCTCGCATTTTTAATTTTTTTATTATGCTACTACGAAATAATATCATTTTTTATTGTATTTTGAATGGTATTTATAATTGTATCTTGTTAAATATATCAAAATTAGTCGTAAATTAGATAAATTTTTCTTGTTAACAAACCATAGAATATCTTATTGATCGAACATGTCTTTTTGTTAATTATTAGGGCATTTCGTTTTATGCATAATGTATTATTTCTCCGATGTTGTTCATCGAATGTAAGCAAGGATAAATGATGGATGATTTGGGCGCATCATGCACTCATAATCTATAAAGTACTTACAAAGCAATATGTAGATAACACAAAATAATTCAAATTAATGTTATTGTTATAAATTTCAAATTTCTGCTCATTTTTCTCAAAATTATATTGATGACGGTAAGAGAAAACGTTTTTTCGTCAGTCATGATACATATCATTTTGTTTCAATTCACTACAGGAAATAACACAAGGACATAAAACAATA